TGAAGAAAATGTTAATTTTAACGAGTAACGAATGCCGTTTTCATCGCAGTTGTCTGTGTTCTTTATAATTTTTTTTAATTAAACTAAAATAGTAACTTCTAATTATTCCAAATAACTAACATCGGCCCATTTTAGACCAACATTAAGCACAAACAACACAGTAATATTGCCTCAGTTGGCCAGTTGAAATTATATTACATAATTTCTAAATTAACAGTTTTTCTTAGTTTGGTACCATAATTTATTGATCTGCAAATAAGTCAACTGTCAAGAACTTAGTAAACAATTTTAAAAAATAATATTCAAATATTAGTATTTACTTTTTACAAAACTTCTGGGTTGCATATGCGGCAAAGAATACATTGGTGAAACCGGACGAAAAATATCAACTAGGCTCAAAGAACACGAAAGAGCCTTACGACTAAGACAAATAAATTCATCAGCTGTTGGCGAATTCTTGTATGTAATCAAACAAAGCTCTAAACAACCAAAGAATCTTAACCGCGACTCTGGTCTTTACCTGTCACCAACATGGGAATCAGTGATCCGAGACGGTGTTCATGCCCCTCATTTAGCTCCGCCCCCCTCAAACAATATATATACAGGTACAGAGTAAAATGCGAGCCAGTTTCACTCAATCCCTGAAGAAGCCAACAGGAAGATTGGCGAAACCTCAGCAAGTTCGACTCAGCAAAAACCGGCGCAGGAGGAAACCAGAAGTTTTGTAGAAAGTATTACAGTAGCCTGAGGAAGTTTCTTTGAAAAATTAATAATAGTATTTGCTTTCAATTATTATTATTATTGGTTAGGTTTATGTCCAAGCAGCGCCTGGCTAACGTAAATACATGTGCAATATTTCTGGCAAACATATTCAAGAATCAAAAAATTCAAGAATTACTTTCCAAAATCGGGCGACGTGTTAGAGAAAACATCTACACAAAGAAATTAAGTTTAGCAAAGAGCTTTAAAAACTACCAAATCTACAAAAAAAAAATAATAAAATAAAAAATAAAACAGTTAGCAACAAAACATTTTTCAAAATATAGCGAAAACATGAATCGCCTTATACCCGCTCGACTGTGCACCGTCATGTTAAAAAGGAGAAGCGTGTTCTAAAGACCATATCTATTTATATGTACTTTAATACACAATCAATCGGGCAACGTTGCTCGGACGCTCAGAAATCTGCCCAATAAATGAAAAATATACATGCGGACGCTAGGATGCTGAAATGTATAAGTTTTCCCGTGCATATTGGACGCTAGCAAGGTACCTCTATAAAAGGACGCCGACATATAAGTATCATAAAACTTCACAAAAATGATCTTCGTAAAATCTGTCCTAAGGAAACTCAACGCCATCTCGTTTATAAAACTTCAAAATATTCACTTGTTAAAGTAAGGATCTTGAAGAAAACGATACTGGACGCTCAGAGACGGATCCATGAAAGGACGCTCGGAAAATAGCGGGATGTATATATATATATATATATATATATATATATATATATATATATATATATATATATATATATATATACAAGAACACAAAGAACAAAGGGACAGAAAAATTAGGGCAAGACAAATATCCTTGATAGAGTTGCAAGACAGGTGAGATAGAGAGACAAAAAAAGCGCAGTGGACTAAGAGGCTGATAAAGAATATTAAAAGCTGGATAGATTGTGTGCATCGAGATATAGACTATTTCTTAATACAAGCATTGACTGCACACGGATGTTACAGGGCGTATGCGAAGCGTTTTCATAAAGATGAAGCAGATCGATGCATATACCTCACAGAGGAAAATACGGCAGAGCACACTATATTTAATTGTGACAGATGGAAAGATATGAGACGGGATGCAAGTGATAAAATAGGGTACACACTGACGCCGGATAATATAATTCAAATTAAGACCCTAAAAAAGGAATATTGGAATGTGGTGCACAAAATGATCCGTAACATTATGAGTTCAAAGGAAAGAGATGAACTCGAAAGGCAAATGAGAACCAGCACTTAGCCCGACTGCCAGATGCACCTGAGGTTATGTCTACAAACGGTTCCGCGTTTATCCAACGTGGCGAAGAAGGAGGGTTTTAGTGGGTAAAAATTCCACACGGTAGACTGTACGGGCAGGATAGTGTCGTCTTGAAGATTTATCCTCTCAAAAAAAAAATATGTTTATGTATAAATGTACAAATTAATTATTTTTTCAACTTAAATATGGTCTCTTACATATTTTCAAAAAGCATCTTCAAATTTAAAACTAAAAATTGATTCCATCTACCAATTCTCAGTCAGTCAGTTCTAATAATCAATGGTAAATTATAGTTTCAATTGGATGTAACGCTGTTCTTAAATTTATAATTGTAAGTCTACAACTGTCAAAAGTATTAATTTCATCATATAATACTGCCATACACCCTCCCAATTTTAATTTAATTGAATTGAAAAAACCATAGGTTCTCACTAAAGTCTACGAATATATGCGAACTCCTCGAGATTCTCGAAATGAAAGTTGTTCGAAGGACAAATCACTAGGGAATCGCCGGAGTAAGGAAATAGGGGTAGGTAATATGGGATAAATGCCAGGCGAACGCCAGCAAGAAAACTATCCGGTTTTGAATATTTTTCTGCCAAGAACTTCGCGATAAATTTTACGTTTTAAATTACTCTAGTTTAATTTAATAAAAGTTGCTCATTAAAAATGATTTACTGATTTAAAATATCATTCAGATAGTAACAAATCATACCTACAGTGGATACAAAGCCCGCTGCTAAAATGAAACAAACTAAAAACCTGGTTAGTTAGAAAATGAAGGGAAAAAAGACAATATTAGACAGGGACTAAAAAGAAAAAAAACATTTACAGGGTAGGTTTTTTTTTTCTTTCTATATTTAGGTAGGTACTTAACCAAATTGTAAATATTAATTTTAGATAAGCATGGTGTGATATGTCTTCGTTAAGAGTAGAAATCAGCAAAGAGGGGTTTTGTGCGCTGCATGAACGGCAAGAGTTTCTTGTAAATTTCCTTTTATCGAATTTGCCTCAATAAAGTCAATTATGATTATTATTATCACTAAAATCGAAAAAAGAATGTTTACTGAAATATGTTAGTTAATTAGTTTCAAAATATTAATTAGTTTCAAAATATCAGCAATACGATTGGCCGAAATATATATATTTTAGTAAAGCAAGAATGGACCTATGGTTCTGAAAATAAATTAATTTTTTTTATATTTAAATTAATTAAATACAATCTCGCATATGTTAATTTTACGGTTGAGGTTATGGTTCGCGTTATAAACTTAGCCAGAACCAGCGCGTAGGTATATACAAATTTTCTTAGAAGTTTTATTATTTCCATATACCGTGTGTCCCATTTAGAACTGTACACCCTTGTAAAATCTTTGTTTATGGTTCGATTTTGAGATCTCTCAAAAATGAACCAAAACGTTTTTGATTATGACTTGGACCTAAAGATATGACCAACTGGGACTTTCTAAAAAAGAGAGAAGTATTATTAGGGAATTTTTAAAGAATAGATTGCAACGCAACTATACCAATTTCTATAACGTTTCAATACTAGGTGTTTGAAATATCGTTTGCTGCCGCTTAAGGCTGTACAGCCTTGTAAAATCGTTGATTCCGGTTTGATTTTGATAATTTTTTTGTATTGGATAGATCCTTAAAACGTACTAGACCTTATTTTTTAATGCCAAATATCGAGCAGAGCTAGTAGAGATTCCTCTAAGAATCAAGTGTCAACGAATTCTTATTCTACATGGTTGAAATATTAATCACAGTACAGTTGCGAATATAAACAGACATTTTGACCGCTAAAAGTCCTTCTCGATTCTCCGCTTCAAAAAAATGTGTCAAGTTGACCATCACTATTTGAAAAAAAGAAAAAGAAATTCCTAATAGCCCGCTTGGCCATTACTTCAGCTTGATATAATAAGCAAATAAAAAAAAATCGGAATGAAACTGTAAACAAAAACTTTACACGGATGGGCCTTAAATGCATTAAAACATGATGGAAATTGGTATAATTGGGTTCTAAGTACTATTAAGTAAGAATTCGTTGCCCAATTTATTCTTGAAAACATGCCTAATAGTACTTCTTTTTTTTGTTAAATAGTCATATACAATACAGTTTTATAAAACATAATTAATATAGGTATAACTTTAATAGTTTTTATTTATTCTGATTATACCATATTTTTCGTGGTTGTGAAGCTGTTAAATTTTAACAATTCGTTCGAAAAAAATTGTGTGCAATACGTGCAAATTCGAGGGATACTTGTTGCACTCAGCACGATTGCAGTTCTCGAATACTTCTTGAATTAGTTTTGGTTAGTTTATTTTAATTTAGTTTACTTTGATTAGTTTAAATTGTAACCAGCAATATAAATATTTTCAAGCTGGCCATGTAACACAAATATAGAAATATGGTTTGTGAAAAAAATTAAATCTATCATTCATATTTTGTGAAATTGGGTATTGGGTCAGTCCGATAATCGATCACATAAGTTAATGGGACAAATAGGTAGGTAAGTACTTCAGACGCCAGATTCCCAAGTGACGCATATTCCGTTCTTTGAAATTTTTTGTAAAAGATCCAATCAAGGCAAGAAAATGTGGTTTTTGTAAATTTTGTAAGGAAAATTGAAACAAATAAAATAAAAATTTAACGATTTAATAAAAGGGTTGCAATTTCACACTTAAAAAATGTTTTTAAACTGAAATAATAACATATAATAATATGATACAATAAATTATATCTTTTAGGTAGGTAAGTAAAAAAAAGTAATTAGTTGATTAAATTTTAATTGTATTTTTATATTTGAGTTTCGCAGAACAGTAAGATCTAATACATTTTAAGATGCAAAGTTTTTAATGCTATGGGTTAAATTACATAAATATTGAACAACAGATAGCTTTATGTATTGATAAACATTGAAGACACAGATAACCTATAATTTTCATTTTTAACTTACCTAATACTGAGCCTCCAAAGCTAGGTAATAGTATGGACTATTTATAAATCGTGGCCACGAACAAAATTTCTGTCCGACACTTTGCAATAGCGAAAAAATCAATCAAAAATAGTCACCAACAGTAGGTAAATAAAATTTTTGTTCACACTGTCCACTTTTATTCAAAGCGCGAATTGTTTTCGAGGGTTATTATACACAGTTTTATTTTTATAGATGTCAGTGAAACAAATATTTTTGCAAACGCGAAATTTTATTGTATAGAAGCCAAATCCCAGGTTCTCAAAAAACATTCTACAATGACAAAACCGACATTGACTTTTCCTACTGGCGACATCTTTGAGCAGAAATATAAACTAGACCGACCTTTAGAAATCAACATACCTAATATGTATGCCAAGTTTCGATAGATTCCTAATGTGATGGCGCTGCGGCTCATTGTCAGATATAAAGGGAAACTGTTATTACAAAAACTGTTCCATTTTGTGTTTGACTGTTAAATTCTTTTCCTTAGAGCTGGTGCTGCATCATACGGTCATCGTGGTGGACCAATAGCTGTTAAACTAGTTAGTTTCGAACCTATTTAAAACAAATACCAACGCTCTAATACAGGGTGTTTGAAAAATCAGCGTCGTAGAGTGCCATCCATGAACCTGAATGTGATTTTCATAATTTTCTTAAGTGTTACTTAGTTTGTTGTGTATGAAAGTGTTCAAAAAATACTTATTTATAAAAATACGTTGTCAATTTTCATGATTCCTAAGAGTACTTTTAGTGGCTTACTCAAAGTAAATATCAAAAATTGCCAAAAAGTTAGTAGCGTACCTCTCATTACCTTCGGCAAAAAATATTTAATACATTGTAAAAGCAGTTTTTTTTAATATTTCCAAAATAAGCATTTCCGAGTTTCTACTACTACTACTCCATACTTTAAAATACTCAATACGCATTAACGAGGCGTACCACTTATAGAGTCAGCTTTTATTAGGCGCATTCTTTTTTGTGAAGCTCTGTTAGTAATTTTCTTAGTTTTAGGTACTAACAAAACGTGTTAAGAAAGCTTTTTTCTGCAGCCAAAGTGATTCAAGTGAAATTAAAAAATATTTCGTGTGTGAAAAAATTACAAACATTCAATGGAATGCAAATGTAATTTTGGAAGGAAAATATTAAATGCTTATATTAAAAACGATTAGACATAGGTATAGGACATTATTGCGTTTTATTTAAAATAACGAATTTGACACCGGTTTACCGGTCATTTAAAAAATTTTCATGTTTTAATTCTTGCTAGTTATAGTTTTAGTGTAACATAATGGAACGTTTTCTGGTGCGATGCTCTAGATGGGCTAGACAAGAAAAATATTTCTTATTTATTATAGTAGAGGGCACTATATTTACAGCGATTTATTACAAAACAGGTTCATATTCATAAAATTTCTATGTATATTCCTTCTGAAATTCATGACACACGAGATTCTATTAAAATGAAATGAAAATGAAAAATCAAGAAACTAATTTAAATGAAAAATGTTAGAAAGTACAACGATTTACGAGTAGGTAATACGTTTAATATCTCTATTTTCGTTTTTCTTGGAAGTATTAGCAAATGCTTATTTCAACAAGTATAATAGGGTGTCGGAAGATATATTAATCAATTTTATTTTTTTCTCGTAACACAACACAACTTTTCCTATTTTATAAGAAAACAGTCTCAAAGCCAATCGACAAAATAGTTATAGATAGATTTCCGTACATGTATCCTTCAAAAGTTAACCTCTCATCAAAATTTTACATTTACAATTTTAGAATCAGCATGCTAAAATTACTATAACGCTCAAATTTAGGACATTACGGAATCAGGATTCGCTTCTCGACATATGTATTTTTGGACACATAGGGCTTATGTTGGACGAAAATATTCTGTTATAGCTGGGCCCACTAAAACTAACCAAAAATATTTAATCTCAGAAGACTCCTTTACAAAAACCGCTAACGACACAGCAAAATTTGATCAATGTCACTTTTAAAACAAATCCTCTCCGCCTCGCTGTTGGCCTAGCTGCTTCTAGATTGTTTCAATTTCTAGGATGCTAACTGGTTCCACAATCGAAAAAAGGATTATTGGCAGTATGTTCGGTAATCTCTTTATTTCATCGCTTTATTAGTGATAACGCCGAAGCAAATATTTATGGTGATAAAAATGTGTAATGCAATGTCAGTTTTCGGATTAAAGATCAATTGAGGGTCATTATTTGCAGCCATTTGTACTCTTCCTGCGATACCGAATGACATTATGTATATTTTTACCGTATAGAGATCAAAATGTTTACATGTTTCTCACACGGTGAGGTAAACCCACTCGACATAATGAAAGATGACTAATATATATTATCCGACATGTCATCCCTCTGTCTAAAAATCAAAAATTCTGTCTCTATGGTGAAAAGAACAAACTTGGACACGTGACCCTAAAATTTTAAGTATTTTTTTAATACGTACAATATGTAAAAACGGTAATAACGAATAACAATTTTTAATTTTCTTGGTTTCGAAGCTTGTACTTTTCACTAACAATTGTTATTATTTTTTCGTTATCTGTCTTACATAACAGCCATAATTTTTTTAAATATGTTTCATGCTGTCATTTGTTAAAAAAGGCAACTTGCTGTGAGCTTTACCATTTTGAAGTTTGCTTGTTCGATTTTAAATTTAAATTTTGAACTTTTTCACAAACATGATATCACTGTTCCACTGACTGATTTGACAACACCGCACTACCAAGTTTAATATGTTTTTTTTTTCATTCTCATAGCTATTTCATTTTTTTTCTTTTTAAGGTCAGGAAGAAAAATGGAATTGGCAAATATTAAATGTATTTATTTAAATATCATTGAATATTTTGCACTTTTTGTAAACATTATCGGTGGGTTAAATGTTTTATTTGAATATAAGGTATATTATGCGTAGTCCGTTCATATATATACAGATATAAATAACCGGATCCTAAAAATTAAAACCGCTATCAAACAAATGATTCATTAACACCCGTTTAAATAAAATGAAATGAAATTTAATTTTATCCAGTTCCCCTTTTTCACGCATCATCGGAACAATAGCACAAAACAATTTGTAAATGGTAAAACATGGGTCGTAAATACAATGATTATAAATGTTGGCGGAAACCTCCCACATGCCTTGCGGTGAATGAATAATTTGGGATGCGAATTTTCTGATCACAATTCTGTACGTGCTCAAGACTTAAGACTCCTGAAAATCTGTTCATGTGATAGCGCATTATATTTAAGAATGGTTTCGTTGGTTATACCATTACAAATGTGCTTTAAATATAACAAATATTTTTTAAAAGATTTTGAATACTGCACTGACTTGTTTCAAAGCACAAATTGTTGAATCATTTTCCGAATTGTTTGATACAGTTTTCAAGCATCAGTATTAGAGAGAAAATTCAAGAAAAAAAAGTTTTTACCAAAAAAAGTTAAAATGATACACAGGGTGTTCCAGTTGGTTCAGTTTTTGAAGTGTCAATAAGAAACCACGAAATTTTCATATTCATATATTGTTGTGTTTTTCACTCTTTAATTATAATTTCATAACTTTCATGGCTAATTTTTCAAAAACCCACGGGCTACTATAATACTTTTTACACAATTTCTGGAGTCCAGAAGTATAAAAGTATAACTTCCGTGGCTGTTTTTACATATAACTTTAATATGGTTTTGGAATTTAAGTTTGTGCAGTACTTTTTAGTTAACATCATCACTTCAGTTTCCAGTTTTTGGTATTTTGCGGATAAAATTAATAAATTATTGACCTATTTGCAGTCACATCTTATCATATATAAAATGCATCCACTAGTGGGTCTCAACTAAGAAAGCAACTTATTTTTAATTTTTCGTGGGTCGGTTGTTGTTGAATTGAACTTGTTGCCGTTTCGCCAATCATCCTATTAGCTTCTTCAGAGCTTAACTGATCTTTATTTACCGCTGGGCTGATACCAACTGTATGAAATAATAAAAACAATACAGGACCAACTAAAATCAAAGACAAAAACATAAGTTTCATTTACGAAACTTCTGGATTCCTCCTACGTCGGCTCTTGTAACTCAAACTGAAGAAGCCAACAGGATGATTTGCGAAACGCCAGCAATTTCAATTCAACTAAGGAATCCAAAAGTTTTGTAAATAGAACTTACGTTTTCATCTTTGCTTTTACTTGGTACTTTATTGTTTTTATTATTTTATACAGTTAACAAGCACACGAAGCACTTTTTAAGTAGATCATGTAAATGTTTCTAGATCGCAATATAATTTTGACGTTCTACAAATATATATTTGTTTAACGCATTTGGTGAAAATTGATATAAAAAAACTTGAACACACCTCACACTCCTACATGGCTAGCAGAGTTCTTTCTTTCACGAAAATTGACAATAATCGAGGCCATAACTAAGAAAACCATTTTCATCTGCGTTTGGTGGTAGAAAAGCTATAAGTGCTATTGCTATTTTGGAAAACCTTTTTTAAATATATCGGAAAATATTTCGTAAACGCTAAGAAATTCTAAGTAATTTCACTTTTTTTCATTACGAAAACTAAGTCTTAAAAGGAAAAAACTAAGTAGGTTTTAAAAAGGACTAGTGATTTAAACTAACTCCGCTATGCCAGTCCCAAGCCTGGGGCCTTGCCACACAAGGGGCAAGGAAGGAGGAGGGATCGAGGAGTAACACCTCGCTAAAAAACCTAGGTTCAGCTGGCCCCGGCTGATAGCACCTTGTAAGGGCCCCTTGTCCAGGGTTACGGATGAAGACCACACCGGCGGTGAAGGCGAAGAAGAAAGCTTCGATTCGGCGGAATCGGCGTAAGTGGCAACCTAGGCTTCTAGGGGTAAATTCAAAGCACCGAATGACTGCCGGTATAAGCAGTCCCCCCCTGTCGGTCAACAGCTTCGGGTGGAAGAACTGAGAGGAGTCGGGACACTCTCTTGTCCCAGAAATGAGAAATCGTTTCAAAGGCGGAAGAACCAGCAGATGGTCAACGGCAGGGGAATGCAGAAGGCAACGGGAAACCACTGCATTAAAGATCTCTCTAGATATCCCCAGGATATTCATCCGATAAACTCTTATCATGTTGGAAGCTCAAACACAAATGGCCTCCAGTCCCGGGCAGACCTTAAATGGTCAGGAGGTGCGAAGAATCCCCCGGTTCCAGCTGGATAAGATAACGAAAATAGCGACCTGGAATGTTAGAACATTATTTGCAGCTGGAAGGCTCGATAATTTGATTCAAGAAATGGACAGAATGAAGATAGAGATCCTTGGAGTATGTGAGGTCCGATGGCCTGGAAGTGGAATGGTCAAATCAGGAGGAAAAGTCTTCTACTACTCTGGTGACAATGCTAATCGTAATCAACACGGTGTTGGTATCTTGATGAACAAGAATCTGCAGAAATCTATGAAGTGCTTTGTCCCAATCTCCGAGAGAGTGGCTCTCGTCCAGATACTTGGCAAGCCTCTAAACATCAATATTATCCAGGTTTACGCTCCGACAGCAGACAAACCTGAACAAGAAGTCGAAGACTTCTATAAACAAATAGATACGGCCTTGAAACTCACAAGGACTAATGAAATAAATATAATTCTTGGAGATTTTAATGCCAAAGTTGGCAGGGGCAGGACGGGGTCAGTGGTTGGCGACTGGGGTTTGGGTGAGAGAAACAACAGGGGCGAAGGGCTGGTTCAGTACTGCGAGGAAAACAATCTTATGATCGCAAACACATGGTTCAAACTCCCGGCAAGACGACTATACACCTGGAAATCCCCACAAGACAATAATTATCACGTTGTTCGAAATCAAATAGACTACATCATAATTAACAGAAGGTTTCGAAATTACATCACCAAAATTTCTACAATGCCGGGTGCCGATATCGCATCAGACCACAACTCGGTGTGCGCCAACATTGTTCTACGTCTAGCCAAACCTAAGAGAAAGAGCCTTAGGAAGACATTCGACCTACAAAAATTAAAAGTTGAAAAAACAAGACTATCATATGAGGACCATCTTAATAAAGAACTAGAAAACGTTGTCAACACCAACGACACTGACAGGTAGTGGCTCGATCTCAAGCGAGCCTTTACAACCACAAACGAAAAGTTTCTCTTGAAAGAAAAAACAACAAGTAAAAACAAGTGGATGACCGAAGATATCCTAAAACTGATGGAGGAACGAAGGCAATGTAAAACCCAGAACGATTACAACAGATATGGAGCTCTTCAAAGACGAATACGAAATGAGATCAGAGCGGCAAAAGAGAAATGGCTACATGAAAGATGCCTAGAGGCCGAAGGCCTTTGCAGGCTTGATAGTTTTCACCTTCATAAAAAAGTAAAAGAAATAGCGGGGTTATACAACAACAGACCGCTTAGCCTCATTAAAAACCAACACAATGAAATAGTGACAGAACCTGAGGAATTGCTGCAGGTATGGAAAGAATACACAATTCGTCTTTTCAACGACGATAGACCAGATAATCCCCCAATAGAGATATCTACTCTCTCAGGACCGAGCATACTGAGGAGCGAAGTCACACATGCCATCAAGCTGATGAAAAATAACAAAGCTCCGGGCCCCGACGATATGTTCTCAGACACGCTTCATTTAGTCAGCGAACAAAACTTGGAAAAGATCGTGACACTTTTTAATAACATCTATGATTCCGGACACTTCCCAGCGGATTGGCTCCGCTCTACGTTCGTTGCAATGCCAAAGGTGAACAGCGCAACATCATGTAAGGATTATCGTCTCATTAGTTTAATGAGCCATTTTCTAAAACTTTTTCTCCGAATACTTCACACAAGGCTCTATCGGAAATGTGAGGAAGTGAGTGGGGCTAGTCAGTTCGGATTCAAGAGCGGGTTTGGAACTAGAGAAGCCATATTCAGTCTTCAGACGTTGGTCCAAAATTGCCAGGATCAAAGAAAGGATGTCTTTATGTGCTTCATCGATTACTAGAAAGCGTTCGACAACGTTAAACACGACCTTCTGATGACATACCTTGGAGAACTGGGACTAGATGGAAAAGATATAAGGTTGATCGGTAATCTGTACTGGCACCAGAGAGCGGAGGTTCGAGTGAGCAACGCTGGAACAACCGAAGATTTCGAAATCAAAAAGGGCGTTCGTCAAGGATGCATCCTGTCCCCCATGCTATTCAACCTATACGTAGAAAAGGCATTCTCCGAGTCCATCTCGGGTAGTCCTCTTGGTATCAAGATAAACGGAATCCCCATCAACAATATCCGGTACGCAGACGACACCGTGATATTGGCAGACAATGCACAGGATCTCCAGAGTCTGCTAACGCAGGTCAATGAAGAAAGCACAATATTAGGCTTAAAAATTAACATCAGAAAAACCAAGGTTATGATCGTTAGTAGGAGCGATATTCCTAATGCGCGAATACATATCAATGAAGAAAACATCGAACAGGTCACACAATTTAAATACCTGGGATGCATGATCAATAAAGGATGGGACTCGGATCAAGAGATAGGATGTAGGATCGAGCAGGCTAGGACAACCTTTTTGAGGCTCGGAAAATTCATTACAGACAAGAACTTGAACTTTGGCCTCAGATATAGAATGGTGAAATGCTATGTCTGGTCCGTCCTCCTATATGGTGTCGAGGCATGGACACTGAGGGCACAAACCATCAACAAAATTGAGGCTTTCGAAATGTGGATTCTACGACGTATGTTAAGGGTGTCTTGGGTCGATTACGTGAGGAATGAGGATATCCTAAGAAGAGCCGGCCTGGCAGAGCGAGAACTATTCGAGAGCATCAAGAAAAGGAAAACAGGCTATCTCGGACATATAATCCGAGGAGAGCGATACCACTTTCAGCGTCTCATTCTTCAAGGTAAAATTGAAGGAGGAAAAAGGGGAATAGGCAGAAGAAAGTTATCGTGGCTAAGAAATATCCGACAATGGACAGGGATAAGTGACTTCCAAACGCTACAGAATGCTGCAATTAACAGAACCATCTGAGAAGAAGGCGATGAACGCCCACGCAGAAATCTGCTTGGCACCTGAAGAAGAAGAAGTGATTTAAAATGAATTTGCGAAATCAGACATAAATTTATATATTATATTATAAAGAAAATTTTTTTTGTTATCAATTTGGAAAATTTTATAAGGCTTTTTGAATTTGGGATTAATTTTTGCGACTGTGTTTATTTATAGGATTAGTTAATTGTTAAACTATAGTTAATAGATTACCTAATTTCAGAGAGAAACAAATTTGTATTTCCAAGTTTCTATCTAAGGGATTTATGTTGTTTTAATAACTCCATACAGAACCAGGGACAGTTTTGGTTAGTTGGTGAGTTAGTTTATTTTATGATTAAAATTAACAATTTAGAGGATAATTTTTAATTCGTTTTTGATTTACGCAGTTTTTTATAACTTTACTTCATGACTATAATTAGAATTTGCCAAAGCTATTTACTTTTCAGAAGCAGAGATTTATCCAGATACTGTCAAAGAAATTGTCATCAGATTAGATCTTTTACTCAATTTATAGTTATTCGCTCATTACTGGAGATAAGTAGGTACTTGAAAAATTTCGTAGAAAAATGATTTTCTACGCCGCCTTTGTAATAAGTATATAAACTGTTGATTTGGCGACACATGAACAATAACGAATTGATAGATCAAAATGAAATCTGCGGTATCAGTATTAGTGGGTTGTGCCGTCATTGGTGCAGTTTTTGAAACTGCATCAGCTGGTAAGTACCTAATAGATCCTTTGCGACTAATTTCACCAAAATTGGTTGCATATCATTTTTTATTTAATTTTAATTATTCTCATATAAAATAACACTATAACAATAACAACTGACTTGGCGGTAGGTTTTTGTGGTATTAATGATAACAATCCCCACTTGATCGATTTATAGTTCTACCACAGTTCATTATACTATTAGCTGAATTAGCTACAAAGGAAGCAACGCTCCGGAAAAATGTAAAAAATAATACTTAACAAGCTTTCAAAATATCTGTTCCGGAAAAAGTGGAATTAATTTGAAATATTGCCGAGTAAAAATCATTTCATCAACAATCAAGTGGTTTCAAAAGAATTGTTTTACGATACTGCAGAAAAGTTATTACTTCTGGCATAGTACTAAAACTTTTTCTATTTGTAAAAATAAAATACGATGTAAATGTAAAACATTTGGGTTTTAATTTTAATTAGTTAAGTATAAAATTTAGAAAAAGATTATTTTAAGTTGTATAAATATGCTTAAGTAAACAACAAAATTTTCTTTTTCTATAATATCATAAATAATTTATGTTGAGGGTAAATAGTGCAAACGCCGAAGATTACTTAAATTTTACTTAGCAGGTAATGTAAAATAGTATATCATGCAACAAGTGTTGAGTCACGAGTTTATTTGGCACGAGCGGAGCGCAGTACAGCGAGTGTTTAATAAACCAGTAGTTTCAAAAATTTACCAAGCATGTTGCATATTACACTTTTTCTACGATCGTTAGTTCTTGGGTATATTTCTACAAAACAATAGGAATCCATTCACCGACATGATCGTCAAAAATTGACAAACGTCAATATCCAAACCGTGCGGTAAAATCTCCGAAAACATCCGATGTCCAAAGTAGCTCGGATCCGTGGGACAAGAACCTTATGTGGTAAAGTGGCGCTTTCCGCATGCTAGATCGGTGTATAATTCGGAATTTTACAGAAGGGAGTGGAAAATAGTTGGGCAAATGCCGCAAACGCCGATGATTACTTAAATTTAACTTAGTACGTAATTTAAAAAGTCTATTTACAAATTAATGTCCTTATTCTTATAGCAGTCAGCTTTAGTTAGCTAGGACTTCTTTGGTGAACCCGTCCCATTATAGCAATTTCTTATTAGCAACGTAAGCAAAAGTTATGACGTACTTTTAATTAATCTCTTCTCAGAGAAATACTTCGGGTCTTTAAATATTACTGTTAAATGTTTATTCCTAAATGAGCATGATCGGGTGCTAATCAACAAAATTGAACTTTATGATATCCGTCTTTTTTAGTACATTTTCTTTTCAGTAAAATGCTTGTCTCAATATGTTCCACATCCTACTGACTGTGGAAAATTTTACGAGTGCTCAAACGACCGCCTGTATCCTTTCACTTGTTCACCTGGACTATACTTCAGTCGAACTCTTGACGTCTGCGTTTGGCCTCTTGAGTCGGGATGCGTCAACAGAGATCCAAGAAGCAATGGCGCCAGCATCAAAAGTAATATTATTACTATACGTATATCTTTACAGAACAATATTGCTTGCGTCTATTATATCAATTATAAACCGACAATGCTAAACATAGAATGTGATTGGCTCAACCAAATCATGGAAAATCACCATCAGCATGTGAACGAAACCATTCATAAATGTATATTACATTGGCTGTCGGTTTCGACGCATTTAATTTGGATATGTCTTTAGTTTAGGTCTAGATCAGGCTTTAGGCTTAAAAGTTAAAGCTCACGTATTATTATTTTCAGCAACTTGCATCTCTCAGTACATTCCCCACCCGGCAGATTGCAGAAAGTTCTTTGAATGTTCCAACGGGGAATTGAGAGAGTTTATCTGTCCAGAAAATTTGGAATTTAGTTCAACTCTTGAAGTGTGCATTTGGGCTTCCGAATCCGGTTGTATATCTCGTAAACCCCATGGAAGCGGCAACAATAACAACAACAATGGTAACAACAATTCGAATGGAGAAAATAACAACAATAACAACGGAAATAACAACTCAAATGGAAACAATAACAACAACAATGGAAATAATAATTCTAACGGTAACAATAATAACAACAACGGAAACAATAATAGTAATGGAAACAATAATAACAACGGCCAGGGCAATAATGGATTTCAGAACAATGTTACACCATTTTAACAAAATGTGCCCGCCATGTTTATGATGTTTAAATTTTGTGTATGTATTTTGATATAAATTGTTCGTTTTTAAAATTGGACACTTTTGTTTTCCTTTTCTGAAATTTGTTGGACCAATAAAGGTTTAATTAAAAAGAAAACCGGATTGATCAAGAACGTTGAAGCTTCGGTGCTGTCAAAGACGTTTTGGAAACATATTAGCATTTAGTAGGTATACTTTTTGATGAAAAGATTTAATAATTTAACCCTTCGAAAATGTAGCTGATTTTTCTCAGGCAGGATGTTTCCGTACAATATCAGAATCATACAGCAATTCTAGAAAAAAAGATTCTCATTTTGCAAAGTATTTTAATAAGCAGGAAACATATTTTGGAATCATGAAATAGAAATTGGAAAATTAGGAAAAATTATTCGCAAAATAATGGTTTGGTTGGTTAATATTAATTTTTCGGAATACAACAATAGTTATGTAGCTGTAACTGTTTGTATATAGTTGTTCAATGTGCATGGAACCCAGACTCTCTTATACTCCATTATAATGTTAATTTTTAGATCCAATCGAGTAAGCTTCAATTCCATTGTGCATAAAATTGTAACTTGCACAAACTATTTCAACCCGACTTATATATTAGACAGGATGGTGCAACAAAGATTGAACACCTCACCTGGAAATCTTATTTCTGAAATCTTGGTTGAATATCTTTAATGAGGTACTCTTTTAAAGTAATTTCATTATATGCTGTATATTATTATATATGGAGTCCATAAGAAGTTGGTGATAGTGACCGAAAGATGAAATGTCGCACGAAAAATCTGAATTGTTGATTTTATTACGTTCGATTACCCAAGGTTGAAAATTATCTATTTATTGAATTTCCCAACGTAGAATCGTTGCGCGATAATTATTTTGATTTAATTTTAGTCTGCAAGTTTAACTTAGCAATATTTAAAATAAAAAAAATTGTGTTTGAACTTCTTATAAATTTATTTGCTTTTTCTTAAAACCTAAAACAGTGGCAACTCAATCAGACGAATATAATACAATGCTGGAAGTTAGGAAATTTTATAAAATTTTATATAATTTATATGTGCTTATAATATGGCAGCAACGCAACAAAAAATTCTTTTGGTTATTCACATTAAAAATAAGCTCCGGGGTAGAGCAACTCAATTAATTAAATTAAATGAAGTTTCTGTCAACGATAAATACCCCCTTCCCAATATTTCCGATCTCTTAGACCAGTTAGGCAGATTCAGTATTTCACTACTTTGGACCTAGCCTCTGGGTTTAACCAAACTGAAATTGATCCCAAGGACGTTGCTAAAACTACATTTTTAGTTGAAAATCTTCATTTTGAATTTCTCCGTTTACCCTTCGGACTAAAAAATTCTCGATCTACTTTCCAATGTGTCATGGACAACATTTTCTTAGGTATTCTATACGAACGATGTCTCGTTTACATGGACGATATTATCGTTTATTTCGCTACCATACACAAACATATACAAAGGTTAACTGATGTCTGCAAACGCCTTCGTGGTGCAAACCTCAAACTCCAAAATGACAAGTGTGTATTTCTTCGAAAGGAAGTAGCTTACTTAGGGCATCTCGTAACCCAAGACGGAGTCAAATCCAATCCCGACAAAATAGACGCTATTCAAAAAATTTCAGAACGAAAATCACCAAAAGAAATTAAATCTTTCCTTGGTTTAGCCGTTTACTACCGACGTTTTATCTCCAATTTCGCTAAGATCTCAAAACCTCTAACTACACTTCTCCAAAAAGACACACCCTTCGTATTAAATTTAGAATGCAAAAATTCATTTAATGAACTTAAAAAGGCTCTGATACGTGACGCAATACTTATTTATCCAAATTTCGAGGAAACTTTTGTCCTAATCATCAATGCCAGTGTATTTGCCATTGGTGCAGTTCTATCACAAGGCCCAATTGGAAAAGACCTTTCCATAGCATGTGCCTCTAGAACTCTATGTAGTGCAGATATGAAATATTCAACTATAGCACGGGAACTTCTCGCCATAGTATGGACAGTCAAGCACTTCCGCCCTTATTTGTTCGGAAGAAAATTTATTCTCGTTTCCGATCATCGTCCTTTAACTTGGCTATTTTCGATAATTGATCCTGGTAGTCGTTTAGCTCGATGGCGTCTTAAGCTTGAAGAATACGACTATAGCATTGTGTATAAGCCCGGTAAAATAAATAAGAACGCAGACACTCTATCCCGCGTTAAAACTAACCATATTCAAGATTGCGTCCATCTCCAAAAGAAAATTTTTATCCTTGCATCTAATAACGATGACATTCACAACAGACCATCCACAAGTAAAGAAGAAGTCGTTCACGATGACAATTCTAATAATTCAGATAACGAAGACGACACAGCAGAAGCTACAGAAGAATATAACAACTTCGCATACCTTCACAAAACCACATCCCTTATAGATTATTCCAAAATAGAAACCTCTAATTCACAACTTCTAGACAAAAATCACAACGATATTGTCACTTTCTTTTGGCAATCAAAACTTGATGATTTTCATAACAAAATAATGGATATTTTTGAAGAAGGTATAAATTTTACATTTAACAAAATTAACGTTTTTTCTAGCAAAACCGTCAAAGGCAGGAAATATTATATAATCCCTCTTCCATATGACAGTGGAACTGTAGTTTTATTTTATTCACATCAAAAAATAAGTTTGATCTTTCAAAACTATATTGTATTGAAAATAATTTACAACTTCCGATATTAGTAGTATTCTCCTTTATATTTTCCGAAAAGGATATAAAATTAAGAATCTGCCAAGAACTGCCGATCAAGACGAAATCCCTATCGTTTTAAACCAATTCCATTAAGGAAAAAATAATTTACATCGCGGAATCAATGAAACAGTTAAGCGAATAAAACAAAAATACAATTGGCCAGCATTGACCAAAGATGTCGAAAACTATATTAGAAAGTGCGAAATATGTCAGAAAGTCAAGATATATCGTAAAAACCTCAGCACACCATTAGTTATAACAGAAACTCCTAAAACTCCTTTTGAGCACATTAACATCGATATTTTAGAATTCCTAGTTCGTAACTACACCCTTACCATAAGAGATGAACTCACAAAATTCACCCAGGCATATCCAATAAAAGACAAAAAAGGTTCTACAATCGTAACTACCCTTCTTCTCTACTTCCAACATTTTGGAACTCCTCTTAGAATACGTTGCGACCATGGCCCAGAATTTGATAACTCCCTTGTCAAAGATCTTTGTTATTTGTAAGATATAAAGTTAATTTTCTAACCTAATGGATCACTAGAAAGATTCCATGCAACGCTCACAGAAATGATCCGAGCTCATAAAGCCGAAAATCCAAAAGAACACCCCTTTCATGCTCTTCCATACGCAATAATCTGCTACAACAACACAAAGAATAAAACACATGGTTTTCCCCTTATGAACTAATATTTGGGCGCGCGTACCCGCACTGATCAACCAAAACAAAAATCCAAAATAGGATTTGATCAAGCAATCTCGAGAAATATGACTTAATATAATGTAGGAGAAGTAGAAGAAGTTCATGTTAAGGAAACTCAAATTAGCGATAAAGTTCAGAATAAATTTAACGGTCCGTATGAAATTCTTGAGGTATTTGAAATTTAAGCCACTGTCAAAGATTTAGCCACCGAACAAGTTTGAAAATTCAAATTTGACAAGTTTAAACCTTATGACGATTAGATTAAATTTCTGTCAGGGTCTTAGGAAAACCGTGCATCATATGAAAGCAAGTTCATGCACCAGATTTGCTCCAAATTGATTGGGGATTTTAAAAATTATGTTGTTAATTTGTTACATAAAACATCAATATGAGCACCAGAATTAAGATTATCGTCCAAGGGGAGTGACGCTATCAACCTTAGTAGGAGATGCATTGGTTGGAATTAAAAGGTTTTATTTTTTTTTTGATTATTTAAAAATAAATTGTTATACGAAAACCAAAACCGAGCCTTCAGTTCATCGCCATAAATCAGTTCATAACATCTGGTTAAAGATGAGCTCCTGCAGATAAATGTTGTATCGTTAGCGAAATGTGAATGATGGAACTAATGGATGAGGGGAAATCGGTCATATAATCCTATAATATAACGACTTATGACTAAGAGAGTGAATCTAAAGCAAGTAAAAATATTTAAGCGAATCATTTGATTATATGTATAATTATACGCGATGTTTACTTAACAGAAATAAATGCGCGTTAAAAAAGATTTAACGTAATAAATCTTTTACTTAACTGCGTTATTTGAAATCTGACTCAGAACACAACCAAAAGTATACATTATACAGTTTTCGACTGGCTTATTGCTGGTTTTCTCGGTTTTAACTAGAGCTGATGGTCTTGATAAAACGAACGCTGTCACGGCTCATTCATATTAAATCGCGCCAAATATTATTGTTTCGGAAGACATTGTTCAATATTTAATTACATATTTTGTTAAAATTGGGCAACGTCACTCATAATGATAAAGTGATAATTTCACTTAAAATGGATAGAAATTGTTTATGCCAAGGACTTTTGCGCAACTCTTAAGGAATAAGCAACTTAAAGGACAACTTTTTTTACTCTTAATTTGTTTTCGAACAAAAAATAGAATTGAGAGGCGCAGAAGAGAAGATGAGAACATCACGAGAAAGCTCAAACAAGAAAAAGGAAATAAAGGGGGCAGCAATAAAATTTCAAAGGCTAACCGAACAACTGCTGGGACAAGAAGTATAGGAAACGCTGAGAACCTTAGTTGTATAAGTAAAAAGTTGTAAGCTGTAAAAAACGATACCTTGCATAACTAATCAATGAAACTGATCTCATAATTTTTATGAACCGAAAGGAGGCAGATAACTCCGTTAGAAATTTGAAGATTAACCGAACGGCTGATACAAATTAAGGACTTTGTCGAAAGAAATAAACCAGAGTCAGAGAACGTGATTTACGTGGAAAATTACTCGATGGCGAAGATGAAACTGAAGATGGACAGTATTTGAAAAGGTTCACATCTTTGGTGGT